CACGTATATGAGTAGTGGTATACTACACAGTAACGATCACAGCGATCAGTCGCAGCAGTATATATATATATATATATGTGTTTCGCAATCACTCTTCTTTGTACTCGGTTTTGTTGTCCTACGGGTCCTATATAAGTTGTTGGGTATACCGGATTAAAAAAAATTTTTCATTGTACACCGTGTGTTGAACAGCGGGTCGGGTAAGTCTTATAGTCACGAGGGGCCGCTGTTCAGTGATGAAAACCGGTTAACCAAGCCCCGGCGTTCTGGTGTGATGAACCGCATAAGGCCGCGCTAGGTTAGGCATGAAACTGACTCGGATGTATGGATAGTAGGATTTGGTTCGGGTGTTTCCAGAGTGTCAGTCGTCTCAGCATCTCGATTATGTCAAACAGGGGTTGCTCAATTGTATATTTACCTCGAAGTTTTGGTTTGACTTAATTTTACCATAAGTGTCTTTTGTTGCTAACTGTCAGACTGGTACAGTATCCCCATCTGTTTCTGAATCAAACATATGCGTAAAATGGATTAGACTGTAAAAGTTCAACTTCTTCTGTAAGTTGAACGTCCGTCCGTTATGGTGGAGGAAGTGCTCTTATGGTGTCATTTATCGCCGTGCATAGGAGCAAACGAATGGAGTAGAGCACGTATGGGAAAACGTGTTTCCCCTTCTCGATAGAGAGTTTTTTAGATTTCGGGGTCAATAAAATAATTTTCCACAAAGTACCGTTCAGTCGTTCATCTTGGTCGTTTTCCCGAGAGTCATATGGAGTAATCCTACTCATAGCAACCCTTTTCTCAAGGTGAGTGTCGTATTGCATTCAAAAGATTACGAAAATGCCTCTATCTGAATACACGTAAGTGGGCGTTCCGAGCAAGGGAAACAGTTGGTATAAGCAACTAATAACAGTGGGTGGTGCTGGCCGAGCGGTTAAAGTCACCAAATCACCGCTTTGGAAACCGTGTGTTCAAAGTCCATCACCACTAACTGACTTTCTCAATTCTCCATGTGTTGTATGGCAGCGCTTTGAACGACCAAATGGGCAGCCAAACGACAGCAACCAAAACCAGCACATGAAAAATGGGTGGTTAATGATTGTAAAAGCTGGAACTGAAACCGAAACTAGGTCGCACAGGCTTTCTTCAGCTGTTCACTCAATGCGAACATTTTGGAGATCATTTTGTACATTTTTCAGTATTTCATCTACGACGAAATTGAATAGGAAAGGCGAAATAGGGCACTCTTTACTGACATCGTTGTTATTTACGAACAACGTATTCAGCGCGCCCTAGACTCTGACGCTACCAAAAGTGTGCGAGTAGAGTGACCCCAGTATGTTCAAATACTTCTGCGGCATTCCTTTGCGAAGAAAGGAACCCCTGAGGGATTCGCGGTCAGCTGAGTCGAAGGTTCCTTTCAGGTCTGGAAACACGACAACCTTTAGTCGACGGTGTGCATGGCGTGTATACTGTGGGGCGAATAAATCACTCACTGTACTATAATTTTTGTACAAAGAAGAGTCGTGATTTGCTCGAGGGCGTGTTACTGCCAGGTTGCCCAGGCCGAGGCTGGTAAATTTTCTTAGGGAATTCACAACCGGAGCAGTCAACTAACCACAGTCTGATCCGCAAAGCAGCGGGGTGGTGTGTGATTACCGCA